GACCCCACAGTATGATTTATTTTTTTCACATATATCTCTGCATTCAGGTATGCGTTGAAAAGCTATACCAAATTCAACCCGTGATTATGCCATTTGCTAACGAAAGATGGCCACGGGTGTTGTTTATCTTGGGTCTCGCTTAGTCCAACTGCACCGAAAAATATTCTAGGACGATTTCCGCAAAGGCCAAAGTCGCGTGCAGACAGTGGCTAATAATGACAAGGCACGCATAAACAAAATAAACTCTGCTCTTTGAATAGGATTTTCAATCAAAATGCACATGCTTTGCTGCCAAATCTGCTTCATGTAAGTACCAGAATAATTCACTGGACTACGTACTGGATTTCTTCATGCACCAAAGAAACATAGCGTGTATTGGCAAAAATAGGAAACACATGGAAGATCTATCAATCGGTTCAATCACCAGTGTAAACACATTCACCCCACCAAGGATCTAACACGAAACATCACGGGGAGAATGCAAGGATAGTACTCACTGAATCACCGGGTAGTTTACCAGATAATTTTTCATTTCAGCAATATTTGTTACACCACATCGCATCTTCGCACTCTTGTCGCAAGTATCACACCTGACTCGTCTCACCAGAAGTTGGAAACATTCCTTCATGTGTGAACTCCAAAATGCTCGGATTCTAGTAGAGATATTATTCGTTAACAATTAGGCGTTCACAGAAACGTAGAAGTAATATCACAAAAGCAAATAAATCTATTTTCTTAGTTACATATTTAAGTGAAAGAGAAGTTTATGAATTTCTTGAAAGCAAAGACCGTTTTCACATAGTTCATTATATGAGTCTTTTGTGATGGTTCCGTAGGTCTCCGAGGAAACAGGTAGTCATTGTACCACAGGGTTATGGGTTTTGTGCGGTCATACCAAATGATAGTAAGAACTCAATCAGCGATGAAATACGTTGAGATGAGGACGGATTGCAGTTTCAACCATGTTTCGGGTCCTCAGCAGCGAAAGCATTTTGCTGCTTTCTAGAAGCGAGAACAACGAAAACTCGCCTCACACAATTAGAAACCNNNNTTAGAAACCCTTACCTGCGAGCTGCACACTCCACGGTCAAACGAGGTTTTAGCCGGTGCCCGGTGGCTGCGAAAATCGGAGTCTACCAAAGGGAACATCATAATTATGAAACTTAGCATCTATGATTGGTCTGTGTGATAGCCTTAGGATTGCAACTCCATGTGTCGAGAGCTATTCGCAGGATTATGTGCTGCAATGTGGGAAGTTAAAGAAACATGTATATATTTTGCGGTTAAACACACGGTTGTGAATACTCTCTTCCGAATGGAGAGTATCGATATGCCGTAAAGGGTTCAGGATGTAACTTAATCTGATTTCTTCATCTTGATACCACTCAGTAAGGAAAATCCATCTCTTTGATTTCGAAACACAGTGAACTGATACCACCATAACTCTAAATGATTTTCTGATAACTGAGAGCAAAGGAAAGACAACTTTAAATAATAATATCCTAATATGAAATGAATGACATCACTTGCAAAGCTACATTGACCGACTCATGCTATGCAAAATTATGTCAACGGTTCACACAGACGGAAAATATCTTAAGAATAAAGAGACGCAGTTTACTCCTGGGTAATCCAATTCTCATGTGCACACATAGATTGAAACGTGAGTTGCTTGAATACAGATTATTGTCCGTTTTGTTAGGTAACTCAGTGAAGAATCTAGGAGATATCTGAAACATTACGTTCATGATACTGAAATCTGTCACACGTTAACCATAAAAAACAGTTATTGGTTTTGTGAAAAGAACAGCCTCTGTGCATGTCTCATTTTCCCGTGCGCTGAAATCTGTAATCACTCGTGTTAACTTACATTATTTGCACAAACATTTTATAACAGCGCATGGCACATCATGAATGACACATCGCGATCTAATATGACGTCATAACCGTGTAACAAAAATAAGAGCTGGAAATGAAACAAATAGTTACCGTGTTGGTTAGTATTCTGCTTTACCTACAAGTCTGAACACGTGTAATAATCAGTTGAAAAATGGCATATTGGGACGCGAATTTTGTCTAACAGTTTACAACCAAGTGCATTAAAGACCCGATTCCACTTGGTAACTGTTGGGAATAAATTGGCATTAGCAATCGGGACGGGAGTTCACACAGCGGGTCATAACTTCAGGAAGCCTCGGTATCAAGTTGAACTGTTCCATAAACTCACTCTGGTATAAACATAGGGATGTACCGTCACACTCTCGTTCTATCACCGCACAGATGCTCTCAACCTGGGTCTCAGAAAAAACAATAGCCAGAGTACTCTGAGTACTTTATCGGGCGGGTTTATATTTCATTATGGTGTGAACTGAAAGTTCGAAACACCGATAATGTTTCGGTTTTGAGCCTTGGTCGATAGGGTAATAGACGAGAACTAAGGAACCAGTTTGTAATTGAAAGTAACGCCACATCGAGCTGTATAGATAAACCGATCCTCTTGGTCCATTCGAATTGATCACAAGACTCTTAGTTGCGCGTATACGGCCTATGTGCACAATTACAATGGTCGGGAATTCTCTTTGAAATCGAAGTTCTCCCGAATGCTATCGCTTTTACACACCAAATTCCATTCGGTATATATGTTTAGTGTGTAGGAGTACAGTGGGAAACCAACTTAACAACAGCACTCGGAAGAAGAGAGACCATAACATCCACTTAAACAGAAGTACTTGCCACCTACGACTTTCCCCTTTACTCCCCACACCTGCTCGGTAGTTTTGTACTCTTGTTGTACAGTTCCTCGTACTTGTCCCATATTTTTACTTTATGATCACAATTCCACTTCTCTGAGTAAGGCCATTCTCAGCAAAACGTGCCCTAGCCTTTTAGTAGATAGGACCCAACCGACTCTCAGCCAATGGGAGCGCTCTTCATTTCAGCCCTGGACTGAGAAGTTGCGGAATGTCTTGTCGCGACTCACCCTCTTGGATTATCCCCAATGAAGGTGAAACAGATCACAGATACTTTCGGCTCCAGTAAACGGGTGCACAAAATAAATATACTCGGGATCGCACCTCAACGTTCCTTTGATCAGCGGATAGATAACTTCATACCTTAGCCACAAATCTCGGTGAAATACTGATCGTTCATTCCCTAGACTCGAGTTACAGTCCTGGGCTTTCCGGAATGAAAAGCACGAATGACAATTTGTGCGTTTTTCTGCTACGTTCAGTATGCTATTTTTTGATGCTAGCTAAATCGGGAGGTCAGGAATCACAGACACAACCGCAATGGTGATCTCTTAATTTGAAGTAATTACTCGAATAAATAGTACATCGAGTGTGTGCTATAAAAGATAGAATGACTTTCAGGACACCATATTCATCAACTGATTACGCGTCAGTAGTCAGTTCAGTCAAAGCACCCGTTTGGTACGCCAATACAGGTTTCACGTTTGAACCTTATGACCATATATCGGCTTTAGAACTTTCCGCAAACTTAGAAAGACAATATAATANTATAATATATAATAATAAACAATAAATAAATGCATTTTTACTTCCTTTTTCTATTTATTCAATATGCAAAGGTATAGTCGATTCTCAGGAAGAGGTATGCGGCTATACAAAGGCTGCCACGGGAAAATACAGATATAGGGAAGACAGGCGGCGGTGGAGCGGTTTGAACCTGGGACACCCAGGTCACAAGTTGGTAACCTAGCCACTTGGCCAACACCGCCCAAGTGAAGTGAGGTGATCGAGGGACCCATCCAAATCAAATTAGTTTCTTAGATTTCGAGTTATCCCGATACTTGCATTAAGAACACAAATTCAGAAAAACAATTGATTTCAGTGATTCATAATCATTCCGGCACATATTTATATGTGGGGGTAGAAACTAGGGTTTCCGCAGCTCTGAAAGATTCATCACTTCGAACAGGTAAGTCAGAAGACGAACACTGTGAGAGGAATTCCTTTCGTATACTGTCATCGGTCGCGTACGTATGACACTGAACAAGATAGACAAAGGAAGTGAAATAAGAAATCTAGTTAGTATTAACCAGGTGTGTGTGCGTGTGTGTGGTTATGTACAGTATGTGTGATGCATGTGATGGGTTTCAGCTAGGGAAGGCCAAGGGTACGTTTTTGGATACATAGTGTGGGTTTGTTGTGAGCGATCGATAATGCCTCGAATATTCTTAGTCGGTGTTTGTTTCGATGACGTAACAAAATCGAGAACGCGTTCGTAAGGTCTTACCTATGGCCGCTTTCAACAAAGTGACGTGCGATGGCTGAAGTCGGTTAGCGTGATGCGGTCAGAGTGTGCTGTGTGGGCTGAGTCATAGAGTCACGCACATACTCGAGGATGTGTTCAACCATTCTAGCTCGTAGTGATTGGTCGGTTCTACCAATTTACGGACAAGCACGTCAAACGAGTTTCATTTGTTCCAGGTGTACGAAAAATATGCGATATTTCGGACAGGTTGAGGATCACAAATTCGCGTAGATGGTTACTTGATGCATGTATTCTTTATTTTCAAAAAAAGGACTTCCTCTGATTTCAGAATGATATTTATCTAGACATTAAATCGACATATTGGTCTTTCGATAACTAGTTTAGAGCAAAACGCCCTACTGAGCCTTTTTTAAAGCAGCGAGAGCAAAATTCAATTAATCCTCCTATTCCAGGAATGCGGATAAGGCACGAAACCTGTTGTTGGTAGGTCTGTATCATAGACACATTACACGAAGTCAGTGAAAGAGCATTCCGCCAAGAAGTCGGTTTGAGCAAAAGCTAATTTTAGCAGGTAGGAGGTTGTCTCTATCTGGTTGTCAACAATACATCGTCAATAACTGGTTATACCGTGTAGGAGTTGATAGATTTGACAGGCACGTGAATCTTGAAGGAGTGCTACCAACCATTAATAACTTGTGAGGAAATAGACACAAAGCAGAAAGTATAAAAGCCGACAGCGAACAGCTCCTTTCAACTTCAAGAAAATGATGTCCAATATCCTGAAATTCTTGTTCATCTCTGTTTGTGTCAGCGTTATTGTTGGTAAGCAACCAGTATCTACGTGGTTTGTTAATCAGCAGCAGCACAGGACTCACAGAATTGTGAGGAAGTTATTGCATCGACTGAAGTGAAGAGTTTTGTTATAAAAGGCGCTGTATCTGGCTGTCAGTACCGCGTCCAAACGGACTCCGGCAAATTAGTGAAGGTCTTCGTAAACGTAAGTGAAGAATAAGGCATATATATATATATATATACATATACACCTAACTCACATGGAAGATGAATAATTGAACGCGTTACTGGAAATGTTTTCAATTGTTTACAGGAGACTAGTGGAGTCAAATGTGTGAAGGTGACCAGTGGAACCGAATCAGACACTCTGTGTTCAACAGGCGCAACGAAACAGTTTACATCCAGTGCACCGGTTGAAGTGAGTGCGGATTCCAGCACGACAAGTTCAGAAACAACAACGGTGGAAGCACCAACGGTATCACCCGAAGCAACTAAACAACCAGGAGAAACGGGAGATGCAGAAAAACCTGATGAAAATGAACCAAAAGGGCCCGATTCCCAAGATCCCCCGCAACCGGAAACCGATACAAGTCCTCAGAAACCCTCAGTAGGAAACGCAGTGCAGAGTCAGGCTGACACGAGCACGGATGCGGGAGAAAAAGGGCCTCAGTCAAATCAAAATAAAGCCGCAACTAATCAAGATGCTGAAAACCTAAAAGCAAGGCCAGAGGAAGCCAGTGATAGCGTTCAACATCTTAGACGTTCCAGAGACACTTCCAGTACCGGGGCATCTGATGATGTAACTGTGTATTACGTACTGGGTAAGTGTTGTATAGTCGCTCTTGATTCGTTTGAACCAAGAATTCGTGCAAATATTTTAGGAGTTCAATACAGCTATTAATATCGCATTTCACTAAATCATACTAACCGAGACTCTTATATATTGAGTCCCTCCTACTGTCATCCATTTCAGACGGTGTATCGAAATCCAGTCCCTCAGTATTCCTGATCCTGGGACTCGTTGCATATCTCACCAAAGAATGTCTCTAGTGAGTCACAAACCGTAATACTACCCCAGTTCATTCTATTTCTTTCTGTTTGATGAAATAGAGTGTACTCCATTCATAAAGTTGACCAATGCGCTTGCATTGAAAGAATATCATTTCGGTTTTCTCATTGCAGAACGGAAGAAGGAACAGATGGATGGAACATTTCCTCGGCTAACAGGAAATCTTTATTATAAAAAAATAATAATGAAAATTATTATTCCTACTGTTATCTTTCTTGTGAGTTCTGACGATATAGGGAACTTCAGGTGATTAATATATGAATAATTATCGTTATTAATTCGAGGAGTGAACTCTAAAATAATTTCAGTGTCTAAACTACGCATGTTAAATGTCCCACACATGGAGTGGGGGTTAAATCACGGAGAAGATTGACTATCGATGCCAGTCTACCGCAAAAGCGGGTTTGATATAGGCCTGTTGTAGGAAAACCCAAAACAGTTAATTAATAATCTGAATGCAAAATTTTTGTTTCAAGTTAATGAATGAAAACGTTCACCAGAAGGATGGTTTCGCTCTGATGTTCTGCTAGGGCCTTCGTTTGCTGTCTTTTTTATGTGTAAAATGAAAGCGATGCACCATAAATGGCGATTGAAACATGGTACTGTAAAAATAAAGGCAACACCACAGTTTGTGCATCCTAATTGCGCAATGATAACNCTTTGGAATTCGATTTGAACCGACCATCCACCAGACTTTACCTTCACATCTAATCTCATCAGTAGTGCATCCCTACCGTCGCGTTTGCGCTTTGAACACCTGATCCACTGATGGTTGGAATCAATATCACGTGTTTCGCAGCACTGTCCATTCTTAACCACAAGTGAAACGAGGACTTGGGAATGTGAAATTAATGGTTGGAACGGAAGCAGACAAGTTGTCTGGATGTTTGTGCTTATCGCCACAATGACGGGTCTTTGAAATAATCCGCGCACAAATAACAGTCAGTTTTCTGCTGTGTGGCATCCATGAGATTTCTCATTTTCCAATAGGTTTCCATAAATGCAAATGAATATACGTTTCCCCCCTCCTCGGTAGGTCACTCGTAATAGCTACTCACTTGACCTTTGACGGACGAACTTGTAACCATTGCTCCATTACCATTCAGCCAACGATATTTCACCCAATGTGACACACTCATCGGTCAGTTCATTATTCATTGCAATAATATTTATTCCTATTGAATGTGTTCCTTGAAGTTTTATAAGGTGCACGAAATAATTTGAAGTTAATGACTCTATTTATGCTCTTTCGCGGTCTTGCTTACATGTATGAATTCTCTGTTTCCGTATGTCTGTTTGTGGTCATCTGATGGCGTTCCGAACTCCACGTCCTGATAAATTTATATCGTGTATTTCTAAAGAGTTGTAACAAGCCTCGCAGTATATGAAGGTGTTGTTTACTAGTATGAAAACATAATTTCGGTTAAATATTCGTTTTCAACTGAGTTTTCAACAGGATAGACTATATTTACAACACCATTCACCTCTGAAGACTTATCTATAAATTTGGCAGGAGTGAAGTGATCTGTACGAAAAAATAAACGTGCAAAAATACCGTGACGTTCAGCGAAAACCTTCTTCATAATCCACGCAGTGAGGATTTGCGATCACTTAAAATAGTGTACGGTGATTGATCGGGCACAAAGACTTCTCACTTATATTCGACGCTTTTACTCGAAAGCACGCCACAGGATGTGGTTCGGTCGAATTACGGTGACTCTTTCGTTTGACTCGAGCAAGGCAGAGTACAGCACGCAAGGTCCAGTTCTTGAAAAATTGCTGGGGTACAAATTTACTATAGAACATACGAATAGCAGTCTCCGTGAAGCAAGGGATACACAATGCAGAATTGTACTGGTCGTGGACAACCTGACCGACCTGAGGTACGTGAACGAAATCTTCTATTTAAATATCAAACGCCTCGTGTTTGCGGGTAGTGGTATCGTTACTGGACTCAATTTAACCAAATAAATTAGGGTAAATAGAGCAGACTTATGCAAAGAAATGTAAGACACTACGCGGGTCTCAATAAGTTCAAATATTGCTTCCGTATATTTGTATACTCGAAGGTGAGCTCACGTAAAGTTGTGATTTATATAACAGACTGGCAGAACGAATTTCGGCGACATGTCATCACAGCCAGGTCACCCGTATGTAAGTCTCCAGTATTCATTGTAATCTAAGTAAGAAGATGTGATAACGTAAAATTATTCCATGCGCACGGTCCAATTCATTTTCGGACTGACAATATTCGCTAGGTTCAATCTGTTTGATATATACGGGAGAGACGAGATTATTGCTGAACAATTAAGTGCTCACTGATCCCTCTGTGGGATGAATGCTAGCAGCGCTAATGGTATTTGTAAAGAATTGACCGGAAATGCAAACTTAGTCAAACTGATAACCCACTGGACTTAACTTTCACACAGCATTATCAGTTTATACAGTTAACCACGCAATTGATAATCTCCGATTTCAGGCTTCCCCTCATCTCAGCCCGCGACATTATTGAATTCTCCTGATATGCTAGCATTATTATACAAACAGTATTGAATATTGAATCGGGGTAGGATAGTCTATTCCGATCAGCTAGCCCCGAATCGAAAATGCTTACAATAAGTTGTGGGCATTCGTTCGTGATATTTCAACTCAAACCAATCCGGTGAAAGCCTCCGCTCTCAGGTTTAAGTGTATTTTCTATAGCACTGGCCAAATTATCAACCCGTTTAGTCAGCTGCAGACTGCTTTTTGAAGGGATGGCTGCAAAGAACCGATAGATATTACCCCCTAGTGGTACTCTTTCCGATAAATTTACAATCATGAAGGTAGGCAGTTTTATTATCGATGACAGTTTCGTAAATCGTTTGCTGCTGTGTAAAACTAGAAGGCACTGAAGACTACGGTACCCCCGATTGTCAAACAACCACAGGATGCACGATGAGCTTGCATAAAGGGTCCTATTTTCCTACAGTCTAAGTCTGCAATAACTGCGATTCACAAGCCGGACCATGACTTGATGAAACATGTTTTTAATGTCAAAGATAACAGTAACTGAATGCATCCTGAAAGGATGCAGAACACCAATTGAAGAATTTCCCAAATGAAGGCTAGGTAGAATCGGGTTTTAAATATTTAAGCCTTGATGGGAATTAAATACAGGCAATTATACTTGTTCTGCCGAATTTTTTGAACAAGAGAACCAAATGATGGAGGACATATAAGAATTCTTTATCGACCACAGACTGGCTGAGAGGGACAAAACATTTCCTTTTTTACACTAATCGGTAGAGCACAGATGCAAGCTTAATGTGAAACTGCTTCCATTCTCCATTCCGCTCCAAATAATTTGCTTGTTCTCTGATAGCTAAATAAATTCCCTCATCTTTCTTTAAAGTACTTGGTATATTCGCAATTAGATTAATCGTTTATGAAAACGGCTTTTTATTGCCCCGCATTAAAACCTGTGTTCTCGTCTATTCTAGTCTACCACGTTTCTATTAATATTTGATCCACTTGAACTGTGCATGGGTGTGTTACCGCGTCAGTATTTTCATTGGTTCTCGACGCGATCAAATCAGTCTTATTTTTAGCTGTATTAACTTCATACAGGTAGGTTGAAACTCGTCTGTGAGCTTCGTAATTTCTACCCAATCATTGAGCTCTATAAACGTCCCATCACTAATAGCTGAATGTTCAACCTCGCACTCATGCCATCATAGTTCTGTCCTTGGTCAATTCTATAATGTTGACGGCAAATGATCAAAGAAGTTATTAGTAACATTTAAAAGTGAAAATGGAACTGCGCAAACGACACTATCACTGCGTCGAAGACGCAACAATACAACTTTTCCTAGGGGCAGAGCCGGTGCATCCGACAGTGGGACTCTTAATAGGTTGGTAAATGATGTGATCATAGAAATAACAGTTGACAATGATGAATGCACACAGTCTGATCTTAAACGTCAAATAATTTCAACTTAAATGTGATGCAGGAAAACAGCTATATAAAGAACGTAAAATGCTTTAAAATGTAATTTTGTCGATGTTAACTTTGAAGAATGTAAATGTTATGAACCGCACACATTCACTAAGCTAATACAGCAGAACGAACTATATTGTGGTTAATTATAATGCTTATAAAGTTATAAATTAAATGGGCTATAGAAAATTCCTGTTTGATTGATGAGAAAATATGAATAAGAAATATATAGAAAGAAAGAATAGGTCCACAGCTTTAATAGCCTATACAGCAGTGTTGTTATAAGCAACAGATTATAGGAACCCATAAGGGTACGATCCAGCTGTAATCTTAGCTTTTTCAAACGTTGAAAGCCAGATGTAGATGCAATAAATAAAGATAAAACGAAGCAGGTGGAAAAATAAATTATGTCACGTTAGTTCAGGTTGCACAAAACTGGCACTAGCCACAGACAATCGAGTGTCCAGTATTCCGTCTGTGGTGTTCAGTTCTGTGATTCTATGTTTTATTCGCCGGGAGTGGGGGAACAATTAACCGTGGTTAAATGGAAAACATCAGCGTTCATCGTTTGCTGGTCCTGAACGGACGAACAAAACGCAGTCACGGTTGAGATTCTTTATTTCTCTGTTAACTGCGGATCTACAGAAAATAATACTCCACTGGTATTGATCAAACTCGTGCAACATTAGTCTCATTTCAGTTCGCACTATCACACTCGTATATGGATGGCTATGAGCAAAGTTTATTTATTCCTCACTTTACCTCTAACATCT